CCCCCCCCCCCCCCCCCCCCCCCCCCAACACCTCGTCTTTGTACTCAACTTCACTTCATTGCTGTTGTTGTTGTTGTTGTTGTTGTTGTTGCCGTTGTCGTTGTCGTTGTCGTTGTCGTTGTCGTTGTCGTTGTCGTTGTCGTTGTCGTTAAAATATGAGGACAAGAAGTGTGAACCCCCTCTCCCTGCCCCACCCCCGGCTCGTCTTCGTGTTGCCTTCGTTGTCGCCTTCGTTGTTGTTGTCGTTGTCGTTGTCGTCTTCGTTCTCACCTTCGCTTCATTCCCGCCGTCGTTGTTTTTGTTGTCGTTGTTGTTGTTGTTGTTGTTGTTGTTGTTGTTGTTGTTGTTGTTGTTGTTTGTTGTTGTTGTTGTTGTTGTTGTTGTTGTTGTTGTTGTTGTTGTTGTTGTTGTTAGGTTGGTGAGCAAGATGTGGCCTTGGGAGTGAAATTTCGAGCCAAAGCGGTGGTGGATGTGGAGGAAGATCTCTCAATGGGAAAGCACGACATCCATTTTCGGATAGTAGAAGGGGATTTCCAGATGTTTGAAGGTACCTGGAGAATGGAAGAGGTGAGCAGTAATTGCTGCACCCCATTGGACTTGATTTTGGGCAAATAACTTACTTCCTTGCTTATATGCAGTGAGACCTAGCCAGGTTCTGTTCTCTCTGTTTTTTAATAAGTAAACATACAACACACACACACACACACACACACACACACACACACACACACACAGTCATGCCCCGTTTGTTATGGGGTGCGGAAGTTCGGTTGCGTATCACTGGCAAGCATGACAACAATGAAGCAACAAGAAAGTCAAGATAGATGAGAACCTTCAGAGAGTGGCATCCCCCACGGCCCCTAGACATCCTGGCAGCTTCGTACTCTCCGCTGATCAAGGGGGCTGAGGGCCTTAGACTGACGGCTTGTAGCTGCGAGACTTCCAGTGGTACCCAGTCGCTACAAGCTACTTCAGCCCTGTTCCCCCCCTCTCCCTCTCCACCAGAGTAGAGAGTCAGGATCCCTCTCGAGGGGTATCGTCCACCCTCCCAACCTCCATCGCTGCCCTACTTACCCTATCCCTTATCTCTTCTCCCTCTACCATTCCTGCTGCATTATCATGCTTAATGTTCAGCACGCATGTGCACTGCCAGTAAACACTCACTTTATCATGCGGTCTCCTAGTGTGCTATGTGTTGATGCTCTCATATACACCAAGAACACTCTCAATGCAGCTCAACCTCCTACTGTGTTATCCATTTCAAGTATGCCCAGGTTGTTGATGTGTCAGTGAAGTATGTATTATTATGTAAGTTAATATGAACAGAGTATGGCCTTGAATGTCTGTTGTGTTATGATCCTGCCATCCTGGCCAATTTCGAAGTACACATTCATCAGAAAGTACAATGCCGTCCAATGGCAAAAAGAAATGAATGAACTTGAGAGGGGAGAGAGGGAAAGAAGAAGAAGAAGAAGAAGAAGAAGAAGAAGAAGAAGAAGAAGAAGAAGAAGAAGAAGAAGAAGAAGAAAAAAAAGAAGAAGAAGATGATGTACACCAGCATAGACCAATGATAATGTTCTTCTTCTTGGCCAACCACTCTCCTCCTCCTTATCTCCTCCCCGCTTATTCAAACAAGAAATAATAATAATAATGTTGAATGGCTGAACCAGAATCAATGTCCGAATCCCTCTTCTACTGCAGGTATCACACGAGGTCCACCATAGCCATGGCCTCCCTTCTTCCTCTCCCTCCAAGGCCGAGGCTATGGCAGACTACCAGGGCATCGCCCTGCTGTGCAAATGACAACACAAAACAGCTATGGCTGCTCTAGCTCGGGTCGCCATGCCTGGCTCTGCCTCGAAGCTTCTTGGTGTAGCTCTACCCCCTGCTGGGGCGTTCTTGCTGCAGCGCCTACCAAGGTGATGAAGATGGCAACCACCATAGCCAGGTAAGTACCTCTGGCGCTCCTCCCTTCCCAGTCCTTGCCTGCCTTCTTCCGGTGTCCTTGCTCCTTCCCCAGCAGCGCTGCTCCAGCCAGTGCTTCAATCAGTGTGTCGCCAAACTTGCACACCGACAATGAGGAGGAGCACCTTGCTCCTCCTGGAGATATAGCGGCCTGCTTGCCTCTTGGAGAGTGACTTCCTAGGCCGCGCGGCGTCCAAGCAACCGGTACCTCCTCCCTTTCCGAGGGAAACATCATTGCAGACTCTGATATTGCCCGTACAGGCCCTAGACTCAGACTGGTTGGACTGGTACTCGCCTAGACCTAGCCTATGACTACTGGGCCACCAACTTTTGTCTTCTTCTGCTCGGCCTCGAGTACCTGGCACATCTACCTGTACTTGTTGCGGTACCGGCCTACCTGCTACTTGAGTGTTTTCCTCTGCTCTGTGTGTCTCGGGCCTCTTTCCCCGCCACTTGTGTGTTTTCCCCGCTGCAACCCTCAATGTCCCGGCCACGGGTAAGTACCGGCCCTCTGCCGCCTTTGGGCCTTCCGATCAACCAAGTGCCCTTGCGGGTCACACACACACTCAAGCCGACAAGCACGCAGACAGGCATGCAGACCAGCAACACGCACCCACACAGACTTAGAAGACTCAGCAACAAGCGGGAAACTCGGTAAGGCATACATTCCATGAGCAAACTCAGAAATCAGCTGCGTGTCTCAGTCCATGTTTGGCAGGTCATTACAGTTGAGTCATTCTGAGTTGTATCCCCCTCTGTCAAATGTCTCTAGAAAGTTCGTATTTGCTCCATATAGAGTCCATAATAATATATTTTTTATATCGAGGAACTTTATACTAGTTTAAACTTCAAATATTTACACCCCCCTTCTCCTCCCCCCCCCCCCCCCCCGGGCCCGAACCCTCCTCTGCGACTAAGTCCAGAGCGGCACCGTTCATGGTCGAATTTGCGGTTCGCCCCCTCTTTGTGATCCATCTGCTCATTTCTTAATTTGATACTGCGTCGAGTGACGGTGGTCCTTTTTGTGTGATTGACTTTCTTTTTTTTTTTTTCATCTATTTTTGTGTGTTAAAAACTAGGGAACAAGATCAAAGGATAGAGTCGAAGAGTTGTCTACGACTTTGGCCGCAGGGAGCACGGACTCCAAACCAGTGATGGGAAGTGGCGACAAGGAACAGGATGAAAGCCAGGTACAGGCACAAGCACAAGCACAGGGCCAGGGACAGGGCCAGGGACAGGGACAGGGACAGGGAGAGGGACAAGGACAAAATGTGGTTCTTTCTTACATTTTGGATGTGAAGCCATATCCATGGCTGCCAGTTGCTCTCATTGAAGGTAGAATTAGGAGAGAGATAAAAGCTAACCTGTTGTCAGTGCAGAGAATAGCAAGTGAAAGGCTTTCAGCACTAAAAAGACAAAGTGCAAGGATCATCTAATCAAATGCAGTTAAAACTGTTAAAGACTTAAAGTTGAAAAACATTTTTTTTTTTTTTTTTAATTCCCCTTTTTTTGTGGGGAACTTTAAAAAGTTTATTGTGCATATTAGCATAGTGCTT